TTCCCTAAAAAGCCTCCAGTTAATCCAAACTGCTGCAGCCAGAGTACTGACAGGAACTAGCAAGAGAGATCATATCTCTTCTATATTAGCTTCTCTCCACTGGCTCTCTGTAAAATTCAGAATAGAATTTAAAATCCTTCTCCTAACATAGAAAGCCCTTAATGACAAGGCTCCATCATATCTTAAAGACATCATAGTGCCTTATCATCCTAACAGAGCACTTCACTCTCTGCATGCAGATCCTGTCCTATCCAATCCTATCCGATCCTATCCTATGCAATAGGATCGGATAGAATCGGATCAGATCCTTAAACACAGTGATAAATATGGTGTATTTGACTTCTGTCACTCACTGCTGAAACTGTCTCATATGCAGTCTGCCTAGGTGCCGAAGAGGCCAGTGAGATTAATGTTCTCTCTCCTGAAGTAAAGTTTTTTTCATGTCTGAAAGTCCATACAGGTTCAGCCTTCTGACCCTTCTTGGAGGATGATAATACCGAGCCCTTCCTGCAGCCTGGATTGCTGCTCTGGTGAGGTGGTAGTGGCCAACTAACAGTCCAATAATCACTCACTGATTACATTTGCTAAAGTACTTTAACACAAATGTAATTAAACAAATACAATTCTAAACACTTACTGTGATTGTCATTGGCTCAGGATTTTCTGCTGTATTGATGGAAAGCCTTGCCATGCCGCTGGCTGTAGTGACGGCGTTCACCTCGTCTGAATCAAGCGCCACTACAACGCCTCGTGCCGGAGTACCGTCAGGATTCAAAACTTCAACCTGTTCTCCAAAACACACATAACAGAAAAAAAAAAAATCAACTATCTAATTAAACTAATGAAAACACCTTTAAGGACAGTGCATTACTATTAGAGAAATAGAAGGAAACCTCAGGAGCTATGTAGCAAACATGTTATGACTGAGATAATAATGACCCAGTATGGCCACAGGAAACACATCTATTTGAAGAGGTTTTTGTTTGTATGATACTCAAGATCCATGACAAATGAAGTATATCAACAGTAGTGATACAGCAAAGAGAGTAAGAAAAAGTATGTGAATTTTGTTTATTTATTTTGTTGGGTAGCAGAGCGGTGCAGTGGTTAGCACTATCACCTCAGTGTAGAAAGATTTCAGGTTCAAATCTTGTGGCCGACCCAATGCCTTTGCATGTTCTCCCTGTGCCTGTGTGGGCTTTCTCTGGGTACTTTGGCTTCCTCCCACAGCCCATCTACTCAGTATACTTTATTATTATTTTTTATTCAAAAATTATTCGTGGCACTGAAGAAATGTCTGGTATTGTTATTAATAATGTATGATATTATTTTTTAGGACATAGTGCTGTGTGACTGGTTGTCGCCGTTTATTTAAAAAAAATTATTTAGCATACATGTAAATATAATACATTACCACAAGATCAAAGGACATTCCTGGTTTGAAATATTTGGGTGTTTTCTTGAAGTGGAGGGTGTATGGTGATGTGACAATCTGGATACCTCTCAACTCTGCCTCCGTCATTTCACTACCTGTAAAAAGTTACATGCACATACACACACACACATTTGTTTTCATTTTTTGTGGTAACTTTACATCGACTTGTATTCATTTCCTAGACACTTACCCTTCATCTACTTCTATCTTCTACTGTAAATACTGTACTTATTAGTACATATTTAATATGAAACTTGTTTAATATGCTTTACATATGCAAATATCAAAGCTTGATTTGATTATCTGAGTAAACTACAGTTATATTTCATGTATGACTATATTAAGGGTACATACACACAAAAAAAACTTATACATGGGTAGGATGTGCCATAAACAACCTAATTCTAAGCACCCAAGAGGACGGCTGACAAGGCCTTTAATCAATATGGGTAACACATTTATTAAAGAATTTAAGTGTTTACACCACATCCTAGCTATGGAAGAGAGCAGAACCTTTCTGAGGTTTATCATATCTTTTTGCCCTCCAAGACCACCAGTGGTGGAGAGGGGCTCCTGTTTTGAATTTTTCTTCTCATATGTATTAAATCAGTACATTTTATTAATAAATTGTGTCACAAAATAACAGTCAAGTGTACTTAAGTGTAGCTAAGTATATTTTAAGTACAATGAAAAAAAACATTTTTTCATATGTATAACACTCAGTAACACACCTGATGCAGTGCAGGTAATTAGGTGTTAGGGTTACAAAAATTAATTAAGTGCAACTGATTATCATTTTTCTCTTACTAGGGTGCACACACACACACACACACACACACACACACACATATTTGTACAGCTACCTTTGTGAAGACACTCACTGACATGATGCATTCCCTAACTCCTTACCCTAACCATAACCATCACAACTAAATGCCTAACAAACCGTTAATCTAATCCTAACCTGAACTGTAAAAGCAAGTCTTAATCTTCACTCCCATTATATGAAACTCAAACCAATCTTCACACTGCTGGCAAGTACACACACAAAGGCATGTGCACACACAGTACACTCTTTTTCTTCCTCTCACCGCTGTCCGTCAGCACACTGACAGCTGCAAATATGGAGCACCCCACCAAGTCGAGGATATTTTGGAAGGTCTCTGTAATGTGCTCTCGCTTCAATTTCACAACTCCTTCACCTTTCTCGATCTAAAATGACATAATATAAAAATTAATCTAGTTATGTAAGTGGACTGTTAGTGGGTACTTTGCAAAATTTACTACAGATATTATAGTGCTAGTAAAAGGCCAAGCTGTAAAACAAGTTTGAGGTTTGTTCTTTGCATGTATCTTAATGCACAAGTGCAAAAGAACAATAATTGAAGATTTTTAGATGGTCAGTATTTACTGACCACCACTCTCTGAAGAGAGCTGGGAAAGCTTTTCTTTTGGCCCTCATGCATAACCCCAAATACACCGAAGGCTGACCCATCCACCTCTTCACCAAACAGATACCTAAAACCACAAGACAAGGATGTTTTTAAACTCAGAATGAAGTAAACCATTCAGTTAGAATGGACAACATTTAACAACAACAACAAATGAAAAACAGAGTAAAACAGCTCCAACACAACGTGCTTTCAATCAACCATTCGAACCTGGTCTGTGAAACTACAAAACAAAAACCTCAACATACATAGCTTTGATGCCGATGGTGAGCTCTTCACTGTCAACGTAGAAGAAGGGACTCGCAGATGTCAGTTTCACCTCAAAACTGGGCAGCACTGAATGAATTAAATGTAAAATTGCATGTATTAATTAAATGTATTTTATTAGTCAGGTAAGAAGTAAATAAAAGTAACAGCTAAAGATGACCTCACCATATTCCTTGACCTCAAACTCTGCAGAGTAGCTCTGCTGTGGGTTGCTGTGAAACTTTACCACCACTTTCCATAGTCCAGTACTACACACACACACACACACACACACACACACACACACACACACACAATTAGTACTGATAAAACATTTTTTAGATTTAGAGAGTATAAATAATTATATCTTACACAGACTAAGACTGGCACATACATGTTGCTACTTACTGTCACTTGACTTTTACAGAGATTTTAGTTAAAATAGCTTTATTTTACGTTTTTTCTTAACAGCTTAAAGCCTCCTTCCACTCAAAAATGTGCTATTGTTAGTTTACTTTAGTGCACAACCATTATTGTGCAAAAAATGATGTAAGATCCAATTTTCTGTGCTCATCTTTTTAAGAATTTGTACCATTAACTGTGGGACAATATTCATCTTATGTAGGTATGATTTTGAAATTTGAAACAGCCAGTGTACATACTGTACACTGACAAAGGACTTTACAGTGAACTGGGAGACATCTTGTATGCAGAAGTTAAACTTGTTAGTCTTGTTAATTCCAAACACAAGAAAATTGTAATAAAAGCAAAAAAATATTTACCTGGCAATTTCAGGGAGTTGGAAATGTGAAGAGTGGATCCCTGATTTCACAAAGACTGTATCAGTTGGTAATATGATGCCTTCAGGGGTCTAAAATAAGAAACAGTTCAACAATCGTTAACGGTAAACGTTACCACTTTACAGATTAAGTCTAATTTCTTGCTACATTTGAGAAAATCCTCAGTTTTCTTTTTGTCTACCATCTGTGAGTCTGATCAGCTCCTTATCGAGCCCATGAAGGGTTTTTCTGCACTCTCTCTAAATAAGTTTTGCATTTCCCCTGATCCATGGAACTGTTGACATGTTGGTCCAGTCCAACTATAATACACTTCCAGTTAAGGGATAAGTTCTGCAGATGCTACTGAAATGAAAGACGATGCTGTGTCACTTTACATGATACATTTAGGCAAGTGGCAACAGTATACAGCCACTGGTAGGGAGCACAGCTGCAGCTGGTCTTCCTGGCTGTGCTGCAAGCTGTGTATGTTTATTATTCAAACTACAGCTGCATTTGTGGTTGAACCTATGATGCTAAGGATATTACCATGTTAGCTGTATGCACTTTGACAACTCTGATGTTGCAGATGTCATAACCTAATGTGTCACAGGCATAGTAAAAACAACCACAGTCACAGCCCAGTCTGCCAGCACTGGTCTGTCTGTCTGTCGGTCAGTTAGTTCTCCACTTTGGGCCAGACTGAAATATTTTTTAATAAATGTTGGATGAAAGTTGTGTAAAGATTGCCCTGAGAAATTCTAATGATTCTGATGATCACTTGATCAACTTTCTTCGATAGCCACTGTGAGGTGGACATTTGTTGCTTTGACTGAACTAAGCTGACTGTCATGAAAATTTCATGTCCTTAATTTTTAGTTTGTTTGTCCAATAATTTGGTTTTTGACTGAATACTTGCACAACCCAAAGAATTCCCCATCAGCCTCAGCTATACTTTGTGTTTAGTACTAATTATCAAATTATATCAAATTAATATGCTAAAATAAAATGCTAAAGACACTAAACATTACTTGTTAAACATTAGCATTTTAACATCGTGAGCATGTTAGCATACTGATGTTAGCATATTTTAGGTATTTTATAGGTGTGTAGGAGACAAAGGTTAAAGTATGAGCACTGACTACTTTACATTACATTACATTCAGTTCAGTGCTTATCAAAGAGAAAAAAAATACTATACCACAATGTTAATAGCAATTGAAGCATCAGAATGGGTTACGTTATCCCTCTCTACAGGCTCCATGCTGGGCGACAGTGCAAATATCCTGTAATGAACTGACAGAAAGACATTACTTTCATCAGTATCCTGTTTATTGTTGAAGGAATACATATGTAGACTATGTCTATTCAAAGGACTGTTTGACTTTTCCACTTCAACAGAATGGTTCATTTAACATGCTTGACAGTATGGTATTTACTCTGAAAATACTCTGGGATGTTATAATTACCTAAACAATGCTTTATATGCTAAGACCACCTGGATGCCCCATCCTTGAGTTTTGAGATATATTAAATACTGGATTTTCAAATTGGAAAATAGAAGCCATGATATACAGTATATCACAGAAGTGAGTACACCCCCTCACATTTTGTAAATATTTAAGTACATCCTTTCATGTGACAACACTGAAGAAATGACACTTGGCTACAATGTAAAGTAGTGAGTCTACAGCTTGTATAACAGTGGCCATTATCACTTAGGGGTGTACTCACTTTTGTTGCCAGCAGTTTAGACATTAATGGCTGTGTGTTGCATTATTTTGAGGGAACAGCACATTTACACTGTTATACAAGCTGTAGACTCACTATTTTACATTGTAGCCAAGTGTCATTTCTTCAGTGTTCTCACATGAAAAGATACACTTACATATTTACAAAATGTGAGGGGGTGTACTCACTTCTGTGATATACTGTATCTTAAAAATGCAGTGCCAGTATAATATTATATTCAAAATTACTAACAGGACACAAGCAATTTAACAAGGGTCTGTGTTGTAATATAGTTCTGGATTCACCTTTACTGTTGGGTGTGTAGAGGGTTTTGTCCGTCTGAATGAAGATGTACCCAGACTGGAAAGACGCCAAGACAGCTTTCTCTAGAAGTCGGTCAGGGAACTGAGCTTGCAGGAAGACGTATTGTTTCATGTTGGGATCTTTACTGAAGTCCCCAGCAGGGATCTACAACCAGTATGAAGAGACAAAAACAGCACGTGAGGAGCATGTTGGGAGTTTAATGAGCATCTACTGATGTTAAATGTAGAAATCTTTGGAAAGCTTCTTCTCTTATTTGTAGTCATGATAGAAAAAAAAAACATATTTAGACAGTTGATAAATTCAGAAAAGATTTAAAAATATTAATATCACATATATATTTTGGCAAACAAACAAACAAAATAACAGTAAAGTATTTTTCCACATTACCTTGATTTGTCCAAAGCCCTGGAATTTATTTGCACTGGTAAGATTCACAAATGTGTACACTAGCCTTTTGGCTTTGGTTGGATACTTCAATACGTTGATTTCAACCATGAAACCATCATCATCATCAGCACAACCTTGACACTCCACAAAGATGTTTTCTACTGTTCCTACTCGTAATATGTTGGGGGCAGACATGACCTTTCTGTAAATCAGTAAGAAAGTAGAAAAACAAAGAGTGTAGTCACTGTACAGCTCTAATGACTTACTGACAAAGCAAGGAACATTAATAGATATATTTAGGTACTGTGTTAAATGTGTTAATTGTGTACCAGTGTTAATTTGTTTTTGTTTTTTTAACAGCTGTTTGAGTGTGTTAAATTTTCAGGCCACAGAAACATATCTACGTAAATGAGGTTCTTCTGCTCCAGCATAGACTTCACACTCAATAAGTGATCTATTGATTATCTTGACTAAGATCCAGCACTAGATCAATAAAACATTTCAACATTATTCCTGGTTCTGTGTACTGTGTTTCTGAGCAAAGTCAGAACAACATTTAAGCTAACTTACTTGACATTATTTGAAAGACCAGTGTACTTTGTTCCCTGTAACCGAAGCTGCAAACTGGACGACAGCTGCACATTATGTTGATCCATGGGTGATATGGAGCCAAGTTAAACTAAAGTTTATTCCTTTGCTTGTTTGCCCATAAAACTGCTTCAGCAACTCTTAACTCTGGAAGGTACAATGTTCTTATACTATGCAGAACAACTTTCTCACTGCACAAGTGCAAAGAATTATGTCACTGCATCCTCTGACAGTGTTTCTGTATTTCACACATTATTGAGACGTCATTCAGTCGTGAAATTAGATTTTCTCCAACAGTACAGAATCCATCAAAACTAGGTTCATGAACTTTTGACAATATGGACACACACTGCATTTGGTTCTGGGTTACACAAATAAACGCAGTATAATGTAAAATTCAGCATTTACAATAAATAATGCTGATTCAACAAATTCATACAAACTAGGAACCAACCTCTCATCATTTCTGCCTGTTTGAACATCCAAGGAAGAATGTGCAAAGGTAAGTCAGGTCTACTTACATCGAAGATCCATTAGCCAGAGAAGTCAAGGAGTAAAAACCCAGTGAGACAAACAGCCAGAGCGGAACCACACACATCCTCCTGCCCGAGCCCATGTCTGCGGTTACTGTAGACTCTCTTTGAAGCACTCTATTTTACACAGTTATCTTGCTCCTCCTCCACCTGTTATTATCTTCTCATCTAGTTGGCAGGTCTGCTCAGCACCGCCTGCCTCTCTTTCTCATTTCTATCCGTATTTCACTCTCTTTCTGGTTCTCGGTCACAGGTCCCAGTGCCCAGGAGAGGCACAGCTGAAGCACATCTCTGGATCAGTGGCTCACGTGTGCACATACCTGTATAGCAGCTCTCCTACCTACTCGCCTGGTCCTCTGAGCCTCCTGGTTCCTGCTGCCCTCCTGCTTAGTTACCTGCCCGTCCTGGTCCTTTCAGCCTCTACTGCTCAACCCTGGTCAGACCACATCAGCCCCATTGACTTTGTCTTCCTCCATCTGCTTACTTTCTGTTTTGCTGTCTAGTATAGATGTCACTGAAATGAAACTTTGAATGAATGAACCGATGTTCGATACAATTGATGAAGTGGTTTGATACTGGTTCTTTGCTTCATTTGGACATCACTACCAAAAAGGCAAAAGACACAAAATCTAACAAAGCATCACTAGTAACCAAAACAGACAAACAAAACGTGGGGCTTTTCACGCTACACAGCCCAAAGTCTAACTGGCATCCTAGAGCTTTTAAACTGGAACTTTCCGGGGTGAAACTGGGATTAGTGGAGACAGAGTCCATCAGGCAAAAGCTAGTTGGAGCACTGTAGATGTCACTCATGGTGAGACTGGCTAGTAGTTGGAGAAGCGTGTCAAAGACCCAAACTCAAGATATCATCTGACAGTGTCTGCTCTCCAAACATGATCAGCAGCTCCTTCCTGTAGGCACATACACATACACACAGAAAGAAGGGCCAGGATAACCCATGGCCACACTTGCTTTACTCTCTCATTTTATTCTGCCATTCTGTCCCAGAATCAGCAAGTCCCTACCAGGTGTAACACCAAGACAAGCTGATGATGGATACCGTAAAACATGGAGTAACGAGCAGTAGGGAAGAAAGAGAAGATGGCATGTTTCTCACTGTAAATTATTCACAACAGTCATACATGTCAATACAGTGATCTTCCGGACTGGGATTTACTGTTGATAAAACCTTTGTCTGCAAACTGGCCTTGTTTCACTGTGCTTTGTGTTGTCAAGGAGATAATACTTTAGTTGGACTTTGCAGCTGTTGGTGTGTATGAACTGTTGCAGTTAGGTTTTCCTTTGTGCTCCATGCATTTTAAGATGATTTGGTAAGTCATTTAGTTTAAGGAAACCTATCTGTGTGCTGCATTTGGTGCTAAGAGCTTTGGTGTGTAGATTCAGTTTGTAGTTTTTGGTAGCTTAGGTTGTTGTGTAAAGATCATTACTTTGTGTAAAGTAATACTACTTTGGCAGGATCCCTTTGGGGTATGTATTAGCACAAAGGGGTCAATTCAGCATTATTGTTGTTGTGTGCCTGTAAGCAGGTCTTTTCCTTTTTTGTCATCTGAGGGCAACTAGAGGACATCAACATAAGGCACAGGCCATCAGATAATGAATGTTAGACATTTTAATCAGCAGAATTTATGTTGCATCTCCTGCATCATCATCAAAAAGTTGCACATCATAAGAATAATGCAAAATTTAAATTATTTTAAAAAGCATTTTAGTTTCATTTATCCTGACATCCATATACAATGTACATGTGGACCATTTCCTTTATGCCCAAACTGGTACTGTATGTGTGTAATGGCCGCAGTGTTTTTAGTTGTCTCTGCTGTCACTGGGGAAAAAGTCATCTGCTTCATGTGGTGTTAACATGAAAAATGGCTGTATATAAGCTTTTTCTCTATATTGTGGCGCTCCACTGGTTCGGATGAGTGGAGCTGGCCTGACCCTATCCTAAACTGTGACATCTAACTATCCAGCTGTGTGCTGGCACCTAGGCTGACATTGAGGAGAACACCTTCTCTGTCTTTTCTTGGCTTTTATTGAACAGAATAAGAATGCAAAATGAAACTGCGATATACCTGGCACCGTGTGCTCACAGGAAAAAGAAAATAGCAGAAAAAGAAAGCAGTAGCAACGCTCCCTCAGGGCAGTCCATGTTCCGCGCCAACTGCGATCACCCTGACACACCCACCTGTTACCCCTCTTATACTCTCCCGTACTGGTTCCTCCCCAAACCCTACATTGGACAGAACAGCGAGGGTATTTCACCGAAACAACGGTAACCAATACATGCACAGCTTTCAACAACAGTGTCAAACCCATTTG